TTCTAAATGCAAATAAATTCTAATTATAACAAATTAATAATAGTTTTACATCTAAAAATCATAATTTATTTTTTATCTGTTTTCTTCATTCAGCAACCTGTTAAATTTGTGTTATGTCTCATAGTTATAACCAAGTTTATTAATGTATGAGAAATCCACTTTTTTTTCCAGTCAGTGTTTAGTACAGCTGGCAAAATCAATTGTGAAAATATTTGATGTGTTTTCTTTTTTAAATTTAGCTTATTATTATAAAAAAAATCTTTCATTTTATGAAAAGACCCTCTTGATTCAATATAAAACTCTGGTTTTTAAGAAATTGGCTGCTTATCAATTTTAGTTAGTCAATCTATAAGATAAATCAACTTCAGACAACATCACATTAATTAATAACTTGCATCCCCAATTTATACAGGAATTAAATTAATTTATATCTACTTATATTTATGTAATTACATGTTTTAATGATTTGGCTGATTAATCGAAAAAATAATGGACAGTTTAATCTATTATTAAAATAATTGTTAGTTGCAGCCCTGAAAACAACTGGTTCAGCTGATAATTGTCTGTGTAAAGACAATGACACACAGCAACACTGTTTACTTCACCTGTACACTGCACAGGTGGTGCGTTCAGGGTCCCTATCTGTTAACAAAGAGTTCTGTGTCATGAAACACTTCTGCAATTAATTACTCAAAAAATTCAAATTTCATGCTAGAACATGTGCAGTTAAACCTTTGATGTTGTTTTTGTTTTCATCTGATCTCTGTAGCTCTGGCTACTTGAAGGCGAAGCAGTACATGGAGGAGGAGAACTACGATAAAATCATCAGCGAATGCACCAAGGAGATAGAGTCAGGAGGGCGGTACGCTGCGGAGGCGCTGCTGCTGCGAGCCACATTCTACCTGCTGATTGGGAACGCCACCGCCGCTCAGCCTGACCTGGACCGGGTCATCAACATGAAAGATGCTAATGTGAAGGTGTGCTGGTGTTTTTCTATTAAAACTGTTTCATTTAATAACTGTAAGAGCTATTAATAAGAATTAAAGCTGACCTCTGTTACCAAGTTTTATCTGCAGATGACCCTTCATGAGTGAGTCTGAGTGCAGTTTGAAACATGTTTCTATTAGAGTTTTAGTGTTTTTCATTAAAGTAAGCTCAAAGAAGAGTATACCAGTTTAGTGTTTAGAATTTTTCTAGTTTCATCTGATGATTTGAAAACAACAAGAAGCTGCAGCCTAAAGTTTTCTCTGTGAATGTTGCAGCTCCGAGCCAACGCTTTGATCAAGCGGGGTAGCATGTACATGCAGCAGCAGCAGCCTATCCTCTCCACACAAGACTTCAACATGGCAGCAGAGATCGACAAACACAACCCTGACGTGTATCACCACAGGGGGCAGGTAGGAGATGGACTGCTTCCTCTTATGCCTGTTTGTTCCTTTTTATACACAAACACTTGACCTGTTGTGTATCCTAACCCAAAATGTGCTTTGTGTCATGTGCTTTATTTATTTAAGGCCCAGAATATCAACAATATAGCTTGTTAACATTTAACATTGCTTGGAGGGTAAAGTTTAATTAGTAGTGGGCACAGCTAACAAAAAAGTTAGCACCACTAATCTGCTAAAGAAGAATTTTAGCTCTGCTAATGGTGAACATAAAAAAGTTAGTGGAAACTAACACTAACCGCTAAGACGACTGTCACTCAGCCTGTGTCCCACGTCTTCATCTCCTTCCAGTTGAAGACTGGTGGACTGACACAAACCAATTTAAAACCTGGTCAGTCCAAACCAGAGTTATAGCTCAGACTAACTTGTGATACTTCCAGTTTACTCCTTTCAGAATAAAAGCATTACTTTGATCAAGTTTGCAGTTAGTCAAACAACAAATACAGTGGGGAAAATAAGTATTTAGTCAGTCACCAATTGTGCAAGTTCTCCCACTTAAAAAGATGAGAGAGGCCTGTAATTGACATCATAGGTAGACC